TTACTAAGGGCTGTCAATAAAGAGTAAAAAATACATTGCCAAATGATAAATAAGTTGCTCAGGTAAGGTACCTATTGTGAATATGATCGACTGACTGCAGACTGAGTTCTGTAACGCTCAACGCATGAAACTTGCAAGGCCAATAGTCGCGAATCGCAATGCTTGGTTCAAGAAATAGGTAGGTAGTGTAAACAACAAATAAACCCGAAATACGATTCCTAACAGAAATGTGGTCGTATTCCACTTATATTAGTAAAAAATCTTGTAAACAAAGATTTAATTTCCGCATTTTGTGTTATCATATCTTAAAAGATTTTAATTACAAAAGACAAGTATAGATATGTAATTAGGTACTTCGATAGTGAAGTAAATTTCAACTAAGTTCTGTAATTAGGTACTTCTGTAGTTAAATTATCACAAAATTTTTTTCTTCGCTACGTAAATACCTAGGTAGATTCTGTATAGATTTGTACAGATTCCGTACAAAATGGTGGTTCACCATAACTATCTACCTACTACTTACACCAGTACTCAATAATTTTAAGTACCTAACAAAGGAATGAAATAAATTCACTTTTTATTATTCTTCGGTAACGCAAAAAATGATAAATCTACATCCTTTTGTTTGCTTAAGAAGCATCCATCCACGCAACAATTATAGTAGAAACGACATTTTGCCATGATAATTCATAAAATAGATAGGTAATATACGCATTTTTTACTTAATACTTGTAGCTAAGTATTTACAAAAAAGGAACTATTTATGTAAACCGCGTTAAAAACTTTACTCGCCTAGAACGCGCTAGCCCCGACTGCGCATGTAACCTGAGGCTCCTCGCGATTTTAGGTAATTAATTCACGCAAGTAGCATGATTGACAGAGGCCTGATATGGGGTAGAAAGAATGGGATTTCACAATCTCCACAGTGGGAGGAGTCCCACTGAGGAGATTGTGAAATCCCACTCTCTATCCTTCCTTGTTTCAAAAGTCTTTCTGGCGGATCGTTTTCTTGTAAATTTTTATAGTAAACTTTTATGACCCCTCATTTTAATGCAAAAATCGCCGGCGTACAGGTTCATACTGCATTTTAAACGCCCGGCTTTCAAAGTTATAGAACTAAAAAAGGAAAGTTAGTCTACATACATCTTTTACTGCCGAGCTCAGATCTCTCATTTCTAAAAGGGTTACGGAGAAATCAGTACACCACGCTGCTCTAGTACGTATGAAGGCGTCTTCGAATGTCCTTGAAATATTTATATTCGCTTTAGATTGTGAATTTATACATGGTGGTATTTTACGAATGGGTCTTCTTGGATGAGGAAGGACCACGCTCTCACAGAATACTAGCGTGAGATAGCAGTTTAATGCTGCTGTATTTAGTATGATGAACCGAATACCCATTTTAATGGAAACAAAACCTTCCATCGTTGTCTTTAGGGACGACAACGCATTGCATTCATCTGCATTTTGATCCTTAATAATCTATATAAAGATATGCAGATGATTATGGGCCACAGTATTCACCTAATGTCAGGTGGACTGTATGCACATTATATAAACCAAATTTTAAAAAAAGATATGTAAAAAAAAAGAATCGTTACTTATACATCATTATATAAAATGACATCACATTTATCTGTGAGGTTTTTGAGCAAATAATAAAAATAACAAAGTAAGTGATTTCCAGTTAATCTCTATATATAAAAATCAAGTACGTTAGTCTCGTAAAAACTCGAAAATGGCTCGACCGATATTGATTAACTTTTTGTGTCATTTTGAGTGGGTTCCTTGGTGGTTTAAAAACTCAGTTGGACCCGGTAGGCGGCGCTGTTGTCGAGATCCAGAAATTGCCCATGCAATGCCGGGGCAGATCGTTAGTATTGAATGTATTCTACTCCACTTGCCTAAACTTATCAACTTGCGTGTTGACAGTGACGGAGAAACCCAGAACGCCAAACGTGTAGCGCATCATACTGAACACGCTGTAACCAAGTTGCTCCTTGGTTCGCAACGAGTCGAATACGGGCTCCTCCATTAGCATCTGCAAATAATAAACATGATTAGAACACACCACAATAACATTGTTGTTTCCCCACGAGCTCAGCGGCAAAGATCGTGGGGAAATCTGAATGTCTGAAACAGAAACTTTTTTATTCAATATGGATTATAGATAATACTTACCCAGCCAGACTATTTTTTTTAAATAAGAGCTTACAATCATGTATGTTACAATTAACAACACAAAACAAATTAGAAATAGCTTGGTAGCGATCACCCTTCCCAGGGGTTATTACCATCTATAAATTCCTTAATATTATAATAATCCTTTTTATACAAACTTAGTTTAATAAAGTTATTGAACTTTGTGTATGTCAAATTTTGTATATTTTCTGGGATTGTGTTGTAAAAGCGTATACATCGCCCCAAGAATGAATTACTGACTCGGTGGAGTCGAGTAACCGGTACTACTAGCTTGTGTCTGTTTCTAGTATTTACAGAATGAATATCATTTATTTTTGCAAAACTACTTTTATTTTTGTGTACGTACATTACATTTTCATAAATGTATTGAGAGGCCAGAGTTAGTACGAGTATATTAATTTCCTTAAATTTTGGTCTGAAGGAGAACTACTACCAGATGGCATGCATTTTTAGAAAAAGAAGATATTGGGCACCACGCTAGAAACACGGATTGGTAAGCGGAGAGCTGAGCTTACTTTGTTAACATACGCCTCATCAACCGTGCAAAATTTGGATTGAGCATTCTTGGATTGAATTTTGAGCCTCATCCATTAATCAACAGGGTAAACGCGTTTTGGACGTAGTTACATTTTTGACGTGCCCTAATTTAGATATTAGAATTGCAAGCTGACTGAAGCCAAAACCATGTTCAACTTCGTGAAACGCACTCTCGCATAGATCTTCGTTCTTTCTTTCTTTATCAGCCCGTAAAAGTTTACTGATGAACGCCATCATGGATGCACCTAAAACCAAGTTAATGGTTGCAAATTATTTTAGATGCATACATGTACGTGAGCGCGTGTTCTTGCAATAAGGTGAGCATAGTTTTGGCTTGGTTTTTCCATCCTTTGAAATGTATGCAGCACTCCGTTTTTCTTTCTTAGTTAGTATGACGACACTTAAAGTATTATTAATTTTACAAGTATTGAGTAGTTGGCGAAACTTCGCAATCGCATTTGGTATCTGGCATGATAAAATGTTCTTATTATTTGTGAATTTGAGAGTGGGGGACGCCGAAACACGGGAATGCACGAGTGGGCTTGCGGCTGCATTACCGTACATTTACCGATTACATGTTGTGTGTGTGTGTGTGTTTGAGGAATCTTATTTCTATAAGTTCATTTAATTATCGACAATAATGATTAACCGTTCTCTCTAATCATTATCACTAAAAATTACCTTGGCAAATGTTCTCTAGCTAAAGATATTCAACATGACGGATGGAAGTCATATTTGGAGATGCATGAAAATAATGATGAAATTGATAATCCCGCAAATTAAAAAAGGCTTTAAATGTTAACAAACGTGTAGATTGCACATATAAGTTTTCACAAATTTTCATTTCTGGGTGATACTCCAGACGGAAAATACGAACCTAGTTTTTATTTTATTTTATAGGATAGAATGACAAACGAGCACACAGTCCACCTGATGGTAAGTGGTTGCTGTGGCCCATAGACATCTACAGCTATCCTCGATTACGAATCAAAATGCTGATGCGTTGTCATCCGTGAGGACTAAGGTGGAAGGCCCCGTTTCCAGTAAAAAGGGTCTCCGGTTACTCTACATTCACCATACGAAACACAGCAGCATTAAGTTACTATTTGACGCTGGTATTCTGTGAGAGCGTGGTCCTTCCCCAGTCGAGCCGACCCATTCGTGCTACAACTATACTATTAATATAACTGCAGCATGGCTCTACTACGTATTAAAAGTTTTTTTTGAAATGCCCATGATCCAATTATAATATGGAATCCGAAGAATGAATCAAACATAAGAAAATTGACTTTTGGTTGTATAAATCTGACGGTTTCACAGTCATCACAAAAAAGCAAACGGTTATATCAAGTTCAGATTCAATTAAGAATAGGTAACAGGTTAAAATATGTGTATATATTTGCCTGTGGACAGGCGACGGCAAAATTAAATTCAAATTCATAAAAAGAGAGGACCTGTTATGGACGGGAAACGTGTAGGGACCGTTTTAAAATTCTACAATAACTGCTTACCTCCAGAGCTAGTATTCACACTTGGATGTCCGTACTGGTGTGAATTCACACACCTGTACTTAAAACTATGTTGGTTGCATAATTTTATATGCATATGTGTGCGTGAGTAAGTGTTATTTATAAGTCGAGCATCGATTTTATTCGTGGTAGAGGCATGCCGCAGCTATATTACTAGTATAGTTGTAGCACGAATGAGTCGGCTCGACCTGGGAAGGAATAATACCAGCGTAAAATAACTTAATGCTGCTGTGTTTCGTATGTTGGGTATATGGAACCGGAGACCTCTTTTCCTGGAAACGAGACATTCCATCTTTTTGCTCCAACACAAGTATTATTAATTACTTACTGGGGATATCTCATTTATAATACATGTAATTGTTTTGAGGCAAATAAAACATTTTCATTTTCATCTTAGTCCTCACGGGTGACAAGGCATCTGCATTTTGTTTCGTAGTCGAGGATAGATGTAGATTTCTATGGGCCAAAGGTGAACCTGTATGCTCGTCTGTAATCCTTATTTTATTAAAAAATGGTTTTAGCTTCGTTTCCGCGTCAATTGAAGCGTACGCAGCGTCCCGTCTATGTTTTTGTTGGTCTGAGGCTTACCATAAGAACTTCTAAAACAGCGGTATCGCGCGGCGTTGTGGACTCTCCTTGGTAGTAGTTTGTGACGATGCTGTTGGTGGACGCCGGGTTGAGACTCAACACTCGAAGCTTGCGTTCGCCTAGAGGTAGTTGATGTACACGCAACTGTGTACAAAAAAGTATGTGAAATTAGTGTACAATACGCAATGATTCATATTTATTCGCCTTATACCGCCTTACGCCATAATACAGCTGTATTATGACTAAAGCACTAATAGGTTGTCTCATTAAAAAAGGACCACGCCCCTTCAAGATGCTAGCGTAGGCATAGCACTTATAGCAGCGCAGTGCTGCTATATTTCATATAAGTTACGAGAACCGGAAACCTTGTTTACTAGTCACGGGGCATTTCATCCTCAGACAGACTTTATGAAATAACCGAGAGTGAAAAGGCCGAATGAAATGTAATGTAAAAATGCACAAATTATTATAATTTATTAATTTGAAACATTATTGTGTCAGACAGAGGGTTCTCGATATTCTAGCTCTCTTAAATTTTAATTTATAGTTTAGCAGTGTCATAGTAGTTATATTTTAACTTTTAGTAGTGTAGAAACAGGGTCAGGTATATATGGAAATTAACTAGCGCGCAATATCAAATCTTTGTAATTTTGAATTAAAATAAAATGCAAACTCTTCTTCATTCTATATTTAAATATTGACAATGTAAGTAAGAGCATGTCATAGCTTGAGTCACTTAGGCATGTTATCTCCGGTTGTTCGGCGCTTTCTAACTCTAAGTACTTGCCCAGGCACAACCTAGTAGCCAGAATTCTACATCAGGAGCTCGCTCCGAAATACGGTTTCTTTCCCTTTCCCCCTAACCCTCCGCCGTTTGGTCTCCCCTGCCGAGGGCTCCCATCTGGTTGGATCTTATTTATTTATGTAGTTTTTTTATTTATTTTATTTTATTGATATTTATGTACATTTATCTTTCCATTTTAATTTATAATTATATATTTATAGAACCCAACCAGGTGAGAAAATTATATAGATACCCCAAGAATAATAATAATAATAAAGCCTTTATTTTCCGAAATATTTTACATTATTACACTAAGTTAAAGTTTAGCTAAACTAAAAACAGATTTTAAAAAGAAAGTACAGCATTATATAAACTAAAACTAAACTTATATTACAAAATGTCTCTTATTTCGGTGTGTCTTTTGACAAAGGCCTCCCTTCAACTCTTTCCAATGTTTTCTGTCTGCCGCTACTCTTATCCATAGAATAGGGTCCTAAGGTCAATTTGAAATCATCCTCCCATCTTCTTGCTTTACGACCTCGGCTCCTAGTGCTGTCCCTTGGGTACCAAACTGTCACCTGTTTGCTCCACTTTTCCTTTTTGCAGCGAAGCATATGTCCAGTCCATCTCCATTTAAGTTGATCAATACGTGACAGTATATCTGTTAATTTCGTTTTGCGCCTAATGTCTATACTACTCACTTTGTCCATTAGTTTCAATCCTAACATGCTTCTTTCCATGCTTCTCTGACATCTTACTAGTTTGTCCCTTTGGTGTTTTGTTAAAGCCCAGGTTTCGCAGCCATATGTAATGCAGTGTAGGATGCAGGTACCGAAAATCTTTTTCTTGATTTTCATACCCAGTTCCTTGCTTTTCATGATTTCTTTCAAGGTCCAATACTTTTTCTACCCAGTCGCAATTATTTTGTCTATTTCTTTGGACATTTGGTCATTTGGCGATATTATCTGGCCTAGGTACACATATTCCTCTACATATTCAAGTTTCTGTCCGTTGACGGTTGTGTTATGTTAATTTCTAGACCTACTTCTCTACTTCTGTCTACTAGGGCTTGTATCATGGACTTTAGTTTGTGTGGGTCCTCTTCCATTATAACCAGATCGTCTGCAAATCTTAGATGACCGTGTTCCGTTTATGTTTAGTCCCAAATGAGCCCATTCCAATTTTCTAAACATTTGCTCAAGCACTGCTGTGAACAGCTTTGGTGAGAGTGAGTCACCTTGCCTGAAGCCTCTATCGATTGGGAAAACGTCTCCTGTTGATTCTAGCCTGATTCTGGCTTTACTTTCACTGTAAATATTTTTGATAATATTAACATAGGCAGTTTAGATCCCCTGTTCTTTTAGACTCTGCCATACCGACTTATGTTTAAGGCTATCGAAAGCTTTGGCATAATCTATAAAGGCCAGGTAAATGATTTTATTGTATTCATTGTATTTTTGTATGAGCTGTTTGATTGTATGTATATGATCGATTGTACTAAAGTCTTTCCTGAACCCTGCCTGTTCCACGGGTTGATTTTCATCGAGTATGAGTGATATTCTGTCTAGAATCACTTTAGCGAAAACTATATATACATTTGAGATGAGAGAAATGTGTCTATAGTTTCCTATATCGTCTTTTGGACCCTTTTTATGTAGAAGTATTATATGTGATTGACCCATTGACTCGGAATGCAGCCGGTTTGTAGAGTCTCATTGAAGACCTTTGTTATAGTATTGGGCTTAGTTCTTTAATTGTCCCTCTCATATGTTCGTTTGTGATTCTGTCTGGACCAGGGGCTTTTTTCAACTTCTGACTTTTTATAGATTTTTCTACTTCCTTTACTAATATTTCTGGTATAACTTCTATGACATTGATCATATGGTTTTGTATATTATTATATTCTTTATCTGGCCATTGTATTTTTGGATGAATTGAACTATGTTCTTTGTACAGTAAACGATAATAGTTTTCGCTATGTTTTGAATTTTTTTGCGAGAAGTATTTGGCAGTGTTTTGTCTCTTAACTTCTGTATCCAGTATCCATTCCTTTCCCTGTTCTCGAAGTTCCTTAAGCGCTTTTTTATGCCTCCTGTTTTGCTAATGTGATTCTCTAGGGTTTTGATTCTTCTATTTTTCCTGTCAATCCTCATATTATCACGAATCTGTTCGAATCTGTTTGCTAAGCTTAGATATTTCTCTTTGATTATCTTTCTTATCCTTTTTTTAAATTAAATTTCTTCTGTCTTCAATTAGTTTTAAAGTTTTTTCACTTAAATAGGATGTTTGATTCTCGTTTATATGTATACTTGCCTGTTCTTTGAGCATGTTTTCTATTTTTTTATATTTTTCGTTAAGGTCTACATCTGCAGCAACTACTTCCACTAGATCTTCTGTGGCGTCGTTTAGATTCCTCTTTCTGCTAGTTGTTTGTAAGTAGTTCATTTGAGTAGCTTTTGGTCTAGGTTTTTTTGTACCACTTTCATTTAGGCAGCTGCGTACCATACGGTGGTTAGTATTGAAGTTTAAATTATTTATTATTCCCGTATCACAAAACGACCTAACTTTGTTGGTTATTATGTAGTCGATTTCGTTTCTAGTCTTTCCATCTGGAGACATCCAAATCCTCAAAAAAATATTTTTGGGTTTTTTGCGGAACATGGAATTCTGAAGTGTTTCTCAAGCAGGAATTCTATCAATTTCTCACCGTTTTTGCTTCTTTTGACGCTTCCATATTTCCCTATTATGTGTTCTTCCCCAGCTAATCGGGCGCCGACTTGAGCGTTGAAGTCATGACGATGACTGTCCATTTTTTTGGGTGTTTTGGTAAGTTTATATGAATTGCCGCTATTCTATCTGTTAACCCTTCCAACCCAATGATCTGGTTTTTGAGGTTTAGCTTTACAAAAAATCCTACTCCTCTTTGTCCAGCGACTTCGCCTTTGTGCTACATAATGAAGTGGCTTCTCTCTTCTATTCCTTCCCCTAATCTTCGCATATCGCTTATGCCTAAAATGTCCCACTTGATGTTTTAATAGCTAACTCTAGCTCTTGCAAACTTTCCGGTGTTCTCAAGGTTCATGTGTTTAGTATACGTAGGTATAGACTACTTCGTTTTTGTATCCAATTTTTGTATTTGATTTAGTTGACAAATTTGTTGGAGGGTGGTGGTCGGCTTCCCCCACGGTGACCGGCCGGTTTGGGGGACAATTTACTTCCTTTTTTCTTGCAGTTATAGTTTTTGTTGTGTCTGTATGTTGGTTCCGGTTGGAAAAGGCCCTTACTTGTTTTTTGACATTTCTGACATCGAGGCAGACCTTTCGCGTGCTACATGTGAAAAAAATGCTTGGTTTAATTACTTCTTTTGTTGAACTTATGGGTGTCTTACTTTCTCAGTATTTATCTTGTTTAGTTTTTTCTGGGATGATGTGGTTGGCGATCCTGAAATCTCTCTCTTCCTTTTTACATGGTTAGTGGTCCTTGGTATTTTATTTTTTATTTTTTTTATTTTATTTATTAATCACAAAAATATATACAAAGAATAGGCTTACATAGCTATTCTCGCCAAACTTTTACGTTTGATGGCGAGACACGCTCGATTTTCAACATAATATCTTCTAAGTATACTACTAATTTACTTATAATATTGATTATACACATTTATTAAGTATTTCTTTACACTATAATTATAACCAACAGAGGCACTAATTAAAACAATGATATACTTCTGTTATAAATAAACTACTACTCTAATGATAATTCATCAAGAAACAACTGTTTAAGTTTTGATTTCAACACATTTTTACTGAGTTGCGGACTCCCCCTCAAAAGTTCAAATTTATTAAATATCTTAGGTATTAGAAATTTTGATAATCTTTCCCCATAATAATTATTCATTCTCGGTTTAACAAGCATTTTACATTTTACACTTCTTGTATCATATTTATTATTAACATATCTTTTATAATCGTTACTATAGTAGTGACGTATGCCTATTAAGTATTCGATTTTTTTGTCTACAGGCAGTATTTTACAAATTGGAAATAAGTTATTATAGTCCTGTCCACAATTATCTTTAACTTTTTTGGTCACTAGGTACTTAATCAGCCTTATTTGTACATTTTTAATATTTTTTTAAATAGGTGCAAAACGTCCGCCCATATACAATGAGTCAATAGCTAATCAGTGAGTCAGCAAGCGCATAATACACAATGCGTAACGTGTGCTTGTCTACAACTGCATTTAATTGATAAAACTTACATACCATGGATCTTAATTTATTACATATGTCATTAACATGCGTTTTCCAGCTAAATTTTTGATCAATAGTTAAGCCTAAATATTTAAATGTATTGACATA